ATATAAACTTGTTAGTGCCTTCGAAAAATATTTTTCACACATGGACAAAATGCTGGTTCCCCTCCTTTAATTAAAGAAAAAAAACAATAGTTAGAAAAATAACTTGAATTTTACAAAAGTAACAATAAAATTCTATGAAAATTACTTTTCAAAGGTGCTTCAAGAAAATGATTTGAAAGTATAAGCTCATCAAACAGGCCTGGATGAAAATGATGGTACCCTTAATTCCAAAAAAGTTAAAAACGATTCACTGGACTTTGTTTCCAGGTTTGAAGATGTTTCACTTCCCGGACGAACAGGTCAGCCTCTTTAAAATGGGGGTCGCTAGGGACGACCCAAATGCATGCATGCATGCATGTTTTCTAAGCAAAACAAGGCTTTATCTCTGGTCAAATCTATAAAACCTTAAACTCAACGCTATTCCTGACATTTTGAATTGAAAAAGCTTCCTGGATGGGAAAAGAAACGTCTTCAAACTTGGAAACCAAGTCCAATGGATTGCTTTTTAACGTTTTTGGAATGACTATGACCTGGATGACAGGGAATTTTCACCAGTATGCTACCCTTAACTTAATATTTTGTTGCACAACCTTTAACTACAGCGATCAGTGGATTCCTGTAGCTGTCAGTGAGGCTTCTGCTCCTCTCAGGAGATATTTTATTTCCACTCCTCATAAGCAAGCTAAGATCTTCATTTTTCCTTTCAAAGATGCACATTAGGGTTTAGGTAGGGGCTCCTGGGGGCCACTTCAGAATACGGTAGTAGAATGGTTTCTGGTGCTGTTTTTGGCTGTTTTGGGTCATTGTCCTGCTGAAGACTAAAGACCTGCGACTGAGACCAAGCCGTCTGACACTGACCAGCACAGTTCTCTCTATAACACAGCGATAGTCTTGAGGTTCCATTGGATCCTGCAGAGTTTCAGAAGACCCTGTACCAGATGCAGCAAAGCAGCCCCACAGTATAACAGAGCCTCCATCATATTTACAGCAGGGAAAGTGTTTGCTTCTTGATATGCTTCGTTTTTTTTTTCCATCCGTGAAAATAGAGCTGATGTTAGCAAAAAGTCCACATTTTTCTAATCTGTCCATAGGACTGTCTGGTTTGTCAACATGTAATCTGGATAATTTCAGTCTGAACAATAGTGTCCTCCTTGATCATCTCCCATTAGGTCAACTTTGGCTCAAACGAATACACATTGTGGATTAACTGATCTATCTTCAAGCATCACACGACAACCATCACCAAGACTTCTATAATGCGGTTTTATTGGCTTTGGTAAGCAAACAACGTAAGACGGGAAACATTTGAAGAAATATAAAATTACTCCATATGCCAACCGTCACAACGATGTGCGTGACAAGGAAGGGCTATATATATTGCATGCATCATTTAGGTGGTTAACATTGTATTACTTCTTGAGCTCCTTCAGTTATTTACTGTCACAGGTAGGAGCTTTGGTCGGAGAGGAAGTGTTGGGTCCGGTATGATTAAAGGAGGGCCGGCCCTCGCACGCTGAATTTAGGACCGGCGATACCACAGATTAAAGTCAAAACCTGGTGAGATCTGACACTGATGTTCCTCGAGCCTGAATTTAACCTCTTCTGTTACCGCTCATATTATCCGTCTCTTTGATTCGTCATCTATTTTCCTGCCCGCTTCCAGGGAGGTTGGCTACTGTTCTTAAATCTCTCTAATATTGTCCTTTAGTTCCTTTGACCAGTGTTGTTATTGGCCATCTTAGATTTAGTCTTAGTTTTATTCTTCAAGACAAAAACTATTATTAGTTTTAGTCACATTTTATTCATTAATATAAGTGATAGTTTTAGTCGGATTAAGTCGACTAAAACTTAAAAAGATTTTAGTCTAGTTTTAGTCAGTTTTATGTTGCAATTCATAAAACAGCTAACCTTTATAATGTCGAATAACAACCAGATTCCTGTCCAGACTGACAGCTCTTTCCTAGATGCTACCATTCCCCGTTATAGAATGCTGTCATGCAGTTCATTGTTGCTGTTAGGCAGAAAACTTTGATATATAGAATTACAATTAACTTCTCTATGAATTAATGCTCTACTTTATAAAAAAAAGTGTCTCACAAAAGCTGTGAAAATAGAAGATCCAGTTCAAACATCATATTGGTTAAAATAGCTAAAAATCTAAAAAAACAAATAAATAAAAAATAAACGAATGGTTTCAGACAAACAAAGTTTCCATCCAAAAGCAAACACTTCCAGATTTACTAAAAATTATTTTTTACACACCAATCAATCAATCTCAGTCTGAGTCTTTATCCAAAAATAAACAATATCCAATAAAATATTTGCTTTAGATAAAATTTAGAGATTCCTTTTGGTAGAAATGAAAGAAGTTTTAGCATCACCTCTTGTGAGCTGGAAAAAATAAATCATTGATAGTTTGACAAAGGGACTTTTATGCTTGTTAGAGGATGATCAGCCATATAGTTTATTAAGTAGTGAGGGCAGGAAGAGCCATACTGCTGAGAGCGAACCATCAGAGTGGAGCATAAAGTGCAGACTCTGAGCTAAGCCCCGTAAAGACGCATTTCTGCTAAAGCACAGCTTGAAGAGCAGAGTGTGTCAGAGAGCAGCACGGCTCATACTTGTTTCTAACAGTTTACAGCACAGTGATGCTTTTTAAATGTCTGACAGACCACCCGCTATTTTTTTTATTTAGTCTCGTCAATGAAAACTCACCCATGACTCATCATGTTTGATTCATCAAAGATCCATGTTTAGCTCGCCAGTTCTCGTTATCATTGTGAAAAAAAGGAGCGTCAACGAAATAATTTCATCATCGTTGACGAAAACAACACAGTGACTCAAACACATTAGTCACAGGAACATTAGGTTGCTACGAGACGGTCTAACAGCTTTACCTTCAACATGTTTTTCTAAAATTTGTATTTCTAATCTACTAAAACTACTCTTGCCTTTGCTGTCTCTGGTCCATGTTGAGTGTGGTACACACCATGCCACCTAACAGCACAGTGACTACCTGTAGCTCAACATATAGGCCCAATGACTGATTACAAGAGTTTAGACACCTGTGATACTAATCAGTGGTCCCTTTGGTCACATTATTTTCAGTCTTTTCTAAACCAACCATAACTTTTGTCCAGGTCTGCTTCTTCGGTTTATCTATTAAAGTCATTCTGGTAAATAGTGGTTAAAAAGCAATGTTTGACATTCATTTGTTCATTTTTATTGAATTTTCATTCATAATTACTTTTTATTCAAGTTCTGTCTGTGACCATTGAGGATTTTTCTTTCATTAAACCAGGCGTACCAAGACTTCTGTCTATGAGTGCATCTACACCTTCAATTATTCCACATTAGTTACGTACATTTACATCCTGATTAACCAGCTCATTGTGGTGGTTAAGGTTGAAATGACATGAAAAAGTATTTAAGTAAAAGCTGGAAAAGTTTAGGGTACTTCTGTATCATTATTACTTTTTTTTACTTTCACAGCATCTAACAGGCTGTTTGCAGGTATGTTCCTGCTAAAGGCACTGTCACACCATAATGCAGCCACCGCTATCTGTCACAGATGGGAAATACACTTTAAATATTCTGCTACTCATAACAGTTTGAATTTAAAACATAAAATCCAACTTTTGTCTGATCAGAGATTTTATTTAAGCATCTTGTTTCAACTCATCACTGTTTAAAGAATGTGTTTGTTCACCAATGCTTTCCAACAAACCTCTCCAACCTTCTCAGAACAGCTGGATTAATATTAATGTTAAATGTTGAATTATAGATCAATTGTATTGGCGACTCAGAACAACTAAGACGCTGATCGGCTGATTAGGGAAATCCTTGTTGACGCGCTAAAAAGTTCAGGTCAAGATGCAGTTCAGATCCTTTTGTTTTATTGATCTTCAAAACATGCAATGCAGCATATAAGAAAAAACGAATCCACAGGTATGAGACGTGATCAAGCGTAAAATAGAACAAAAACATCCAAAGCTTAAAGGTCAGCAAAAACTCCCCTCACCCACTCACTGAAACTCACCAGGTGAGCAAAACAGGTGATCTTACAAATCACTGCTGACATCTCGTGATCCAAACCATGCCTATCCACCACAAAGTTATTTTTGAACGCAGATGTTTCACCACAGCAGCTACCGTCCCCTAATCTTTGGATGCATCCCTTCTATAACACATCTGTTACCAAACTCTCTGCAGACCTGAGTCAGCTCTCCTTCAGCAAGGATGCATCTAAAGGTTGATTTTTATTTGATTTTTTTGTATTCCAATAAATAAAAGGAGATTTGGAGCTACGATGAGACACAAGGTAAACACTTTTGATAGTGATGCATCTGAAGAAGCAAATGAATGACAACTAAACCATTTTTGACATCTTTATAGTGGATGTCAAACTGTAACTTGATTCAATCTCAGACTTAAATAAAAAAGGCTATAAAAACAAAAAAAATATATATCACAATGAACTCACTTTATCTAACTTTGTACATTTATACCTGGGCTTTATCTTATTTTTTTGTTTTGTTTGGTCAATTGTTTATTCTTCAGTTTTTTTTTATTTTTATTTTGACTTTACATGTCACTTGCTTTTTAATGCAATTTTTTTCCTAAAACTACTGCCATGGATATGAAAACAAATTCTTTAATAAAGTTTGAATAAATGCTGCATAATCGTGGGTCATCCCTTTATCAGTGCATTACTACAGCTCATCTATACAATGGTGTATGAAACTGGTTCCCTTTCCACAGTCCTGTTAAGTTTTCTAATTAACTTTTTAAGTAAGAAGCTCAAACATCATGAGAACAAATCCTAAAATGATTCATGTCAAATAAATAAATGAAAATACAAACCTTTCTGCTTCCCAGAATCCTCTGCTTCTGCCTCCTTTCTGAAACACAGAAACCGCATCCCCGTTAGATTAGCTTTACATGCAGGTGTGTGTGTGTGTGTGTGTGTGTGTGTGTGTGTGTGTGTGTGTGTGTGTGTGTGTGTGTGTGTGTGTGTGTGTGTGTGTGTGTGTGTGTGTGCGCAGCCCTCCTACCCGCGCTGCTCCTGCTGGTATCTGTCTCCATAAGTGGAGTAGAGCAGGATGAGGAACTCAGCCAGCCCAGCATCACTCAGGCTGGTCCTCCTGCGGAGCTCGCTCCACACCTTATGCGACTCTCCGAGGTAAACCCTCCTAACGTCGTACTTCTTTCGGGATTCCAGCCTCCTCTGAGCTCGGTCTGAGTCCGTGAGCCTCGGTCGACCCCTGCACCGCCTCAGAACACCTCCGGTTCGGTCGGTCTCAGAAGGACAGCCTACCGGACAATGCGCCATCTTGGAATTAATGCCAACAGCTGATCCCGTGATTAGCTGGAGTTGTGTCAAACATCAGAAAAAGCATTTTACTTTGGTTTAAGTTTTTCTAGTTAAACTTCTCGCAAAACAGAAGGAGTGAGAATTAATATGTGGAAGAGTTTATGTGAACATAAAGCAGCAATATTGAAATGTCCAATTATTTCGATGGAGGAAGTGCGCTGGTTTCTACCCGGAGCATATTAGGTGACGGACCGGTGTCCCACCTCGTAAACATTCGCGGGAAACTTTTGAGTTTTATCTGGTTTCACTGCTACTGTTAGTTTTTTTGGTGATGACTGACATCCTAACGTTGGTGTTCAGGACCTTTTCGTCACAGACGGGTCAAAACAAGGACCCCGGTGTTTGTCCTCCAGCAGCAGCAGCAGCCCCCCGATGCAGCAGCCTGGTAGTGGGGCAGCATCGCCTCAGCCGCTCCCTGCTGCTGCTGGCAGCCGTGACCGCAGCCTCGGAGCTCGGCATCAGAGTGACTTTCTTCGCGCAGAGCCAGATCCAGAGCCTCCCGGTGTGTCTGCAGCGATGCAGCACGACCCTGAGCCCAGATGGTCTAAAGGTAAACAACAGTAGACACTACTACCGTAAAACATGTAGCAGAATACCTGAATCTGTACCTATTAAACTTTTGCATAATTCGTCTCTTTAAAGCAAAAAAATATCCCATTTTATCCCTTTATTCTGTTAAAGGTCAGAAAATGCAAAGAAAAGATCAGGACTGGAACTATCGATTAATTTAGCTTTAAACTGTTGATTATTTATTCGATTAATAATCAGACAGGCTTTAAGATTCCCTTAAAGAATATTTATTTACAAAAAAACAGGTGAGAATAAAACTTTTCTACTTGAGGAGTTCTGGATAAAGCATATTGACAGACGAAAATGTTTTTTTTTATGTTAAATGCAAAATGTTTGCCATTTTTATTTATTTCTTAACAATTTTGTTATAGTTCCTGCTCTGAGTGGGCCGCTATGTCAGCTAAAAAATGTTTAAGGTCTCTACACTCCTGTAACGATTATTCGATTACTAAATAAGTTGACAATTATTTCAATAATCGATTAATCACGATTTATCCAATTAATTGTTTCAGTCCCAGAAAAGATAGTTTTTTTTATTAAGCACCCCTCAATCATACCCTTAAACCAAATTTAGTGGCTCTTAAAGTCTCTATTTAATAATCTGATCAAAGTTGTCTATAAATAAAACTCACTATTAGTAAGTTGTTGCATGTTGGTGCTCAAACTGCTTGGGTTTAAACGTTATAAGCTCTTATCAGACCTCAGTACTATGGAAAACTTTAAGATTTCGGTAAAACAGCGGCGCCTGGTGGTCACCTAGCCCAATAGCAACCTTTCAGGAGAAGCAGGTTTTTACATCAGCAGTGAGTATTCAGAAATTAGATTTTTTATTTATAATTACTGGCTATATCATCATTCCTATTTATATATTTGAATTCAATATTAGATTGTTTATTGATATCACATAGACTTTATATTCACCACCTATATTTTTGTTCATAGAAGTAATGAAGTTTACAGTGCAAAAGAAAAAAAAAAGCTCAGAAACTTACGCACAAACCTTAGAGGCATCGCTGATTAAATCAACATAATGCTTTAGAACATCTCAAGCCATTTTACTAGAAAAATTGAAGCAATAAATTAGATTTAGAGCTCCAAATGCTGTCAGTCATGCAACTATTATTTAAACACCTGTGTTAACCTTTCCCTACATATAGAATTAAGCAAACTCTAAAACCTCTGTTTCATTTCCTTATACTACTAATGTAGGACCATTAGTTAGAGAAACACCTCAGTCACTCACTGCTCTGATCTGCAGCTGAGGTGGGAGATTTCACTTGTTGATGGACCAACCAAATGTTTATTGCCTTTATAGAAGAGTGGAAAGAACTGTTTAGATAATCTGTTAATGTCTTATTTTATTTCTTTTTAGTTTGTCAGCAGCCAAAAGGGAAAGACATAAAACATGTGAAGGAAAATTATCTGGTCGGAGGATCCTAAAATTGAACTTTGCTGCAATGCCATGCTTAGCAGAAAAACTCACCTTCCACAACATGAAGCTTGGTGGAGGCAGCGTCATGCCGTGGGGATGGTTTTCCCTAGCAGGCACTTTTAACCTTCTTTAGAGTTAAAATGAGGATGAATGGAGCTAAATGGAGGGAAATCTCAGTAAAAATTTGATAGAAGCTGTTATGAAGCATCTGTTCTTTGCTTCCGTTTAACTTCCTTCCTGCATAACCTGCTGTTGGGAGAAAACATCGAAGTCTGTGTTTAATGGAAGCAAATATGAAACATATTCATGTTTTTCAGAGACTTTAGTCAGGTGCCATATCTCCAGTACATAAGTTGAATTTATTTTTATTTAACATAAAGAGCCTTCCTTTATATGTGATGTTTGTTTTAGGATTGCTGTAAAGTAAGAAACTATTACTTGATTTGTAGTCTTAGTTGAAACTCCAGATGCAGATGTGCTGCAGTGTTAGTAGTTATAGTTTCCAGCTGTTTTCAGTCTTTCTATGTTTGTCATTTTGGTGTATTTTTTTTTTAGAAAATCACGTTTTCCTATCCCCGGACGCTAGAGGAGCTACTCCAGCGGGTTGCCAGCCTCCATGAAGCCCCTCTACCTCCCTCGCTCATCATCATCGACAGACTGGACGGCTTCCTGCGGGACCCCGGCGCCGGCAGCCACGCTGGGTTCCACTCAGGAGAGCTGTCCCGCGCTGCTCATCTCGCTGCTCTGCTCTGTGACACAGCTGCGTTTCTCACAGAAGTCCTCCAGCAGAGGGGGCCCAGCTCCGACCCCTGCCGCGTCATCGCCTCCTTCCTCTCAGATGTTGACGGCGGCCAGGAAAGCAAGGATTCCTCAGCCACAGATCCAGTTCTGGATGTTCTTGATCGCTATTTCCAAGCACGCTGCACTCTGGATCAGGACGAAAGCTATGAAGCAGCAGCAGCTGCTGCGCAGGAGATGTGGCACATATACCTGTCTGGAAGAAAAGTCTCAGAGGAGGGAGCTGCCTTAGCAGAGGAGTGGAAACTCCTCTGCTTTCCTGATGGTCTAATGAAGTTTAAGTCTGTTTAAAAGACTGGTAAAAAAAAAAAAAAAACTTTAAGGAAAAACATTTCTTGAGGACATTAAGTAAACATACATTCCTGTTATTCTGATGTATTTCTTAAACTGTTATTTATCAGCTAATGATTTCTGAACTCTTATCTGAGGTTCCTTTTTCAGATACAGGAATCAGACTTTTCCCTGACTGATACTGATTGTTGTTTTCCTTAGGGGGCCGACATGCCCTTTGCATTTCTGTTTCCCTTCATAAACTAAATTACAGAACAAGGTTCTTTGATGGAGGTCAAATCCTGTTTACGGTAAATTAATTAATTAAAAGTAGTTCCTAGTTAATTCCTGTTTAATCCCACAGAAAACGATCAGATTTCAGAGTTATTAAAATATCTGCATCTTAAATCCTGCTGGTTGTTTTTTTTTTTGTTTTGTTTGTTGTTTTTTTTTACAGGCAAACTGGTTTTAAGGAGTTTTAGTTTTGATCAGTTTGATGGACAAGGAAAAAAATGTAGTTTTTCATTAATTTACATGATGATCAAGCAAATTTGTCCAACCCCAAACGTTTTATTTAGATATATATATATATATATATATATATATATATATATATATATATTCGAGATGTAAAATGTATTTGACTCATTTGTAATAATCAGAGCACTTAATGCTTTAGGTTCAGGTGAATTAGTGCATCAAGCGTATTTCCAACAGTCTGTTACATTACATTCTCTATGGAGTGAATTGTGTTCCATTATTGTTCCAGGGAACGAATGGGTTTTGTAAAAATGCAGTCCAGAAATGAAATCTTGAAAAACAAGATATTCTGTGTGTGATGGGTGACACCTATTTTTTAATATGGAAAGGGGGCAGGCAGAAACTTTTGGGCATCTTTAAAAAGAAAATAAAAATCTGTTAAATATTTGTGAAACTGTGAAAAAAATATTTTTCTCAAATTAATAAATACATAAACGAGAAAGAAGATTTCTTAGATCTGTTTTAGTTTAATCTTTTATTCATATGTTTGTATTAAAAATATCTTCAAAACTTATTTTTAAGGCAAAGAAAGCATTTAACTTCAGAGTAAATGTATCACAAACAAACCATATGTATGCATATAAAAAACTTGGATGTGTGTATTATACAGAGTAGAAAGTTCAAGTCACCATGGAGACGTGTCAGGAATTGAAAGTGGCTGATTGGAAGGCAAACAGCTGCAGAATGCGCGATATAAAACAAATGCTTAGAAATGCAATAAAAAGAACATAATTTCAGATGCAACATATTGTGTCATTCACTGCAAGCAAATAATCATTTTGAAAAGATCATGAAGGATAATCAGAAAAGCAATAAACTAAAACAATCCTGTCAAACAGGTTCTGCTCTTTATATGGCACAATTAACCCAAAGATGTATAAAAATAAGAAAGTTAAAAAGTACAGTTGCCTTAATTTGATTGATGTTTTAAAGCAATGCTGCAGAGCATACAGTAACAAAAAATTTACTGACTTTAAAAATTCTGTCTTTGCCAAAAACAAAACAGAAATATTACTGTCTGCAGCCCGAGACAGATAATAAAGAATGATTTAACATCTTATCCAAATAATTTAGGTTTTAGATTTAAACACGTCAAAAATTGAACTCTACAAAATTCCTATTTCATTAGGCTAAATATTTTTGGAATAGCCCATTCAGAAAAACATGATGACAACTGAACAAATTATTTTAAATTCAACAAGAGGAAAAATGTATGGAAATTTAACGACATGATTGGCACTTAGCTTTGCTTCCATTTTATAATAATGCTCACTAACTAATGTGTTGCATTTCCCTTTTAAAATTCACCTTTCTGAATATTTAAAATAAAATCTTTTTATGTTACATCAACTTTCCAATGAAGTTTAGAAGTTAAAGATGATGCTTTTGGATATGAAGGCTAAACATGTTAAAATGAGATTCAACTTTAGCTTGTTTGATGTTAATTGCTACATGTTAGCTTGCTAACAGATTAAATGAAGATTTTAAATGAGGTACTGTACATGATAACCTAATAAACAGCTTATCTGTGGCAAACGTGTTAGCAAGCTAACATTGTAATGAAATGCTACTAGTATTTTAACATGCAGGTTTATGGCACAGAAAAATACAACAGAATATAAGCGAATTGGTTAACTGTTAATTGATATTGAGTGATATTATCAGTATGCAAGCGTTTTAATTGATATTAGCTTTAAAACTAAATATGGGATATCGGCTGTTCCACCAATACATTCACTGCTATGACAAAAACGTGAGGATTATGCCTTCGTCCGCAGGTTACTTGCACCCAATTGATGGCTTATGGCTGGTTTATACTCGGAAACCAGGTCGTCTGCGTGTGTCGCAGACACTCTGCTGCACCTCTACGAATATGTAGGTGACCGCAGACAGTCATGCAGACAGGAGGACTCTGATTGGTCAAATCTACATCTGATCTACACTATGCGTATTTCGTGCTAGGTACTGTACCGGCTTGTTTTGTTTGTATGACCGAAATTGTGGAAAATGACTCATGAAGATGGACCAGCTAGAAGAGCGAGGTGCGCGAAAACGCGTCTAGATCCCGGCTCTTTTTCGCCCCTCTGTTGTCCCAAAAACGTGCCCTTTGCGTTTTTCCACTTCCTCATCGCCTGGGCCGTATCAAGACCTGCAGCTAGTCCGTGATTGTCCCTCTTACATTTTGGCTTGGAATAACATAGTGCAGACCATGTTTAAATATTGGGCATAAATCAAAAATGTCTGCGACAAGCTCACTGCGACACACTTATGCAGGAGTATAAGCAGGCCTTTATTCTGTCACAAGTTGTTTTTCCATCAGCTTTTTCTAATGTGCATTTTGAAGTATCCCATCAAAAAAGTTTGATGCAGACAGCAAAATAAAATAAAAGAGCTTTTATTCTCGCTTGGGGTGGTTTTATGCTATTGCGAAAAAGGGTTGATACTCAAAACGGGGGATGGAAACACTTCAGATTAGCTTATATTGAACTTTTAACTCACATGACTGATCAGCTGTTTCTGATGTTGTCGTCTTCCTGCAACCTCTACTTTCTGTTGATTACAGCAATGTTTGAGGACGTACTTTGGACAACAACATTACGTGGCGCTTGGTTAATAAGCTTTAAACTGAGAGGAGACACCACAAATTCGCATTTCCTTTCTAAGAACTTTTAAAAGTTCACTGAAAGTTCACAGTTCTGTTGGTTGGAAACATGGGTAAAGAGGAGATGCTGAGGCAAAAATGACGGTGGTTTGGTTGAATTTGAGAAACATCCAAAAGGCTAAAAAGGAGGAGGAAAACTATCTAGTGTCTCAAAGGCCAAGTTCACATTGCAGACCTTAATGCTCAGTTCTAATTTTTTTGTGATATCCAATTTTTTTTCAGATACAGGTCATATATGGGCAAAAAAATCGGATTTGGGTCACTTCAGGCTGCTGTGTTAAAGTAGCCTAAGTAGGTCTAGGGCAGGCATTCCCAAAGTTGTTCCAAGAGGGCCGCTGTCCTGCAAGTTTTAGAGGTTTCTCTGCTTTAAGCACAGCTGATTCTAATGATTGCAGTTAAGCAACAGCCTGTTAATCAACTATCAATGTAAATGAGCTTTGCTGGAGCAGGGAAACATCTAAAACCTGCAGGACAGTGGTCCTTGAGGACTGACTTTGGGGATGCCTGTGTAGAGGGAAAAAAATCGGTATTGGTTATTGGGCAGTTGGGTTGCAAAAAAACATCATAAATGTTATGTTATACATACAATGTTAATCGAAAGTTTGGATTAGCATTTATTATAAGAGACAAAAGAGTTGGAAAACTTAGAGTGCAGAACTTTACTATTACTATAGCCAAATACTCCTACAGATAGTTACGCTATTAAGTTACGCTATTAGTTACTTAGTGCTGCATTTGATACAGTTGACCATAATATTCTTTTAGAAAGACTTGAATATTTTGTTGGAATTAAAGGAACAGCACTAGACTGGTTTAAATCTTATCTATCTGATCGAATTCAGTTTGTTCATGTTAATGATAGATCTTCAACACGCTCAAAGGTTACCTGTGGAGTACCACAGGGATCAGTGCTAGGACCAATTCTCTTTACTTTATACATGCTCCCAATTGGTAGAATTATTAGACAGCATGGGATTAATTTCCACTGTTATGCTGATGATACCCAGCTATATCTGTCTATAAATCCAGATGAAGCTAACCCATTACATAGATTACAGGCATGTCTTGAAGACATAAAAACCTGGATGACTCTTAATTTTCTGCTTCTGAATGCAGACAAAACAGAAGTTATAGTCTTTGGACCAGAGTCTCTGAAAAAGAAACTGATTAGCCAGTCACTTCATTTGGATGGGATTAAACTGAATTCAGATAATAAAGTAAAAAAATCTTGGTGTTATTTTTGATCAGGACCTGTCATTTAAATCCCATATCAAAGAGGTTTCTAGAATTTCCTTCTTTCATCTGAGGAACATTGCAAAAATTAGAAATATCCTGTCCAGGGGTGATGCTGAGAAACTAGTCCATGCATTTGTTACTTCAAGGCTGGACTATTGTAATTCTTTACTATCAGGAAGTCCACAAACTGTAGTTAAAAGCCTTCAGCTGATCCAAAATGCTGCAGCCAGAGTTCTAATGAAAATGAAAAAGAGAGATCATATCTCTCCTATCCTGGCTTCTCTTCATTGGCTTCCTGTTAAATCAAGAATAGAATTTAAAATCCTCCTTCTCACATATAAAGCCTTAAATGGCCAAGCTCCATCTTATATCAGAGATCTGATTGTTCCTTATGTTCCTAACAGAGCACTTCGCTCTCAATCTGCAGGTTTACTAGTGGTTCCTAGAATTTCTAAAAGTAGAATGGGAGGCAGATCTTTTAGTTATCAGGCTCCTCTCCTGTGGAACCAACTACCAGTTTTAGTCTGTGAGGCAGACACCCTGTCTACTTTTAAGGCTAGGCTTAAAACTTTCATTTTTGATAAAGCTTATAGTTAGGGTGGCTCAGGTTATCCTGAGCTATCTCTATAGTTATGCTGCTATAGGCTTAGACTTTTGGAGGACATAGGGACCCCCATTTCATCATTCTGCTTCATTCTCTCTCTGTTCTCCTATTCTGCAGAATCTGTTAGTTCAATCTCTAACCTTCTGCTCTCTCTGCTTTTCCTCAGAGTAGCTTTGCCTCGTCTGTTCCTGTTTGGCTGTGACGTCATCCTGGAAAAAAACATCAGCTGTGCTGCTTCTATCAACACCCTTGTTAATAGATGTTGGAGATCGGCCTGTTTTCCAGTGTGGTCCTGTTTCTCTGACCGTGACTGAGTGGATGTGCTCTCTTCGTCCTCTGGCATGGGAGCTGCCTTGGAGCTCGTCTGCCTGGCTGTGTGTTTCCTGGACCAGGCGCCTTTTACAGCTGCTTTTTGTATCTCTGCTTCTGTCTCCTTGAACCCCAGTCGGCCTCGGCAGATGGCCGCTCACACTGAGCCTGGTTCTGCTGGAGGTTTCTTCCTGTTAAAAGGGAGTTTTTCCTCTCCACTGTCGCTACAAGCATGCTTAGTGTGGGGGATTGTATTTGAGTCAATGAGTCAATGCAATCAACTGGTTTTCCTTAGATAGAAAACTTTGTATCAATTTGACTGTATGATCTGGTTGAACTGTAAAGTGCCTTGAGATGACATGTGTTGTGAATTTGGCGCTATATAAATAAACTGAATTGAATTGAATTAAAGGAGACCATAGAAGAAGGGTTCATTGTGAATTAGTTGCTTGTTTAAGCTTTATGCCACTACGCGTTCCGTCCTGCACATGCACAAGCAGATATACATCGGGGCGTCCATGTATAATGTAATTATGGTACTAAAATTACTTATTTCTATCCTTAATTTTCCAAATAAAGCTAAAACACATCTTTAAAAAATGTTTCATGACTTTTGTGAGACAATTTTAATGCTTTTTACATTTTCTCAGTTAAACTGCTTCTCTGATGCATCATCGGACATAAGCTGATAGCACATGCGCAGAACGGATCATGCTTCCGGGACGGATCGGGTAGTGGCAGTTTGTTAATACATCTTTTCACACTAAAGCAATACCCAGGGGGAAAGTTAGAAAAATCATGTACTGTGCAAGTCTCATTGAATCTTACCACTGAAGAAGAAAAGAAGTACATTTAGCTAGAGTATAAACACTGGAAAATCTTACTCGGATCTAATCCTATTGATAAGGTGGATATGTATGCATGATGCTGAAAATAAGCATTTGCTGTAACTCACAGTTGATACTGCTTCATGTGTGCCATGTTATGTCCTTTACAGATTATCCAAAGAATCATTGTCTTTGAGTCCTTCAGCTGATGTCCGTCAGCTCTGTGTTTATTTTCTTAACAGTTATTGCGAGGCAATCAATAGCTTGCCCTGAATACCCATAACTGGTCTCCAAGTCATCGTCCTCTCAGCCATCGTCGTTGACAGAGTACTGCCTCACCAGGAGAGGTCTTCTATGATGAGGTATCTCATTTTTGTAGTCATTGGCGTAGATAACCACTTTGCCAACGTCGTCAGCTCTGCTCATAGGGCTGTAATCCATGGAAACCCCAGAGTCTGCAACTGCCATGTAGGTGTATCCCTGTTCTTTGCCTATCCAGGCATTGTTAGGATACTCAAAGCTGGACTGAGATGAAAGGTTCCCAGAACCGGTGCTTTGCTGCACAGAGCCCAGGTCAGAGTGAGACTCACTGCTGGGAGTCTTTCTGGAGTCAAAGAGAACCCCAAGCGGTGAGGCTTCCTCAAGAGCGTCCTCTGTGTGCTCTTCTTCGTTGCGTTTGTTGCCGCTGAGGGTGATGTAGGTGTCTTGGGATTCCAGTAGAGAACACTGGGAGCTGGGGAGGGGATGCTGTTGGAACTCCCGAAGACGATCCAACAGCCAGTGATCATGATGGGGGGCTCTCCACTCTGGTGTTTGAACAGAATCAACTCTGTCCACTGACTCTCCATCAGGGGAACTTGTATTCAAAACCCCGCTCTCATTGCTGACGATGTTCTGCGCTTTTGAGGCCTTTGGTGGAAGTGGTGGTGATGACAACGGCGGGCAAAGGTTGAGTTCTGAGAGTACTTCCAGTGGAGAGGGGCATTCTTCAGAGAGGATGAAAGGGGAAGTCAGCCATAGGCTTCCACTGGTCTGTCCCAACCACTCCTATGTGGAAACACAAAGAAATGAGTGAGCATGCTCACAAAAACCACAAAATCAAAGGTAACCATGTTTCTAAGACGTTCTTACCTGGAAGTCCCCACCGTATACTGTGAAAAGACCTTGAAATTTATTGTCAGGAGTTGGAATAACCGGCCAGAATTTCTTGATAAGGAATCTAAACAGAAAGAAAGAATTGAATGCAACGTTCCGCAACTTTTACATTCATAGTTTTTGGGTATATTCAGCCAATGAATCATTTTGTAGCATCGAAATAAGCCATAGATGTGTTTAATCCTAGAACACTGACCTGTGATGGGACAGAAGCATAGCAACACAAAGCAGAACGAGGATGAAAAGGATGATGAGGGTCAGAGACACAATAAGTGGGTCAAGATCTGTAGGGTAGAAGGAAAGTTAAGGTTGATTTAGATCAGTTTTGTCCACATTTTTGTTATTTGGGGCAAAATCATTAGATGGAAAGTTCACACAGCCACAACACATATTTAACACAACAACAGTTCTGTTTTTTTTTTAATTTACCTGCTCACCTATGATCTAAGGATGCAATAGAAAAAGAATAATGTCGTCATAGGAAGGCGATAACCAATTAAAAACCAATTAAAAACCAGCAGGGTCCGAATAAAGAAAATCATCAACCAATAAAGGTCAGGGGAAATTTTTAATTATAATCTGTTACTTTAAACATAATTTAACACTTAAATAAAATTAGGTTTTTATACATTTTATGAATTTTTAACTTCAAAAAATAGAAAGTTTTTCCATCTTAAAATCAAAAGTGTTTTTAAACTAGAGAACAAAAATCGCTCAGTTTGGTATATAGACAATTTCCTGATTCACATATTTTATAAAAAAGTTTTTATTTTATTTTTTTCTGGCTTAATGAGAGCAGTGGGCTTTAGGCTGCCCTGCAAGGCTTTAAACCTGGGTTTGAATGGAGACTAAGCCATTCTAAAGCACAGATCAAGGTGCTCATTTTGAGCCTGGATCCATATTTATTTTTGATTCTGTTCATGGTGGAGAATCCTGCTTCACAGCAGCAGGTTGACCCAAACATCCTCTAAATGTTTGAGCAACATGCGGTAATTTATAAATCTTTTGGTCCGGATTAGCCAGCAGGTGGGTTAGGATCCGGACCGCGGTCGGCTAATCTGTGACCTCTGCTCTACACCAATACCTAAAATTTACTTTCATAAAGTAGGATTGTGCAGTAATCGAAGGTAAACTTCTGCTGGTGAACCAAACCTCTAATTCTGTTTAGGGCCAATATATAAATAGTCCAGGGGCCACAAATGTTCCCTGGGCCACAATTTAGATCTTTAAATGTGCAGATAATACCTCATATATCACTGCACAAACGATCTAGAAATAAGTAAAAATGTCTTAAATTAAGTGTATTCGCCGTTAATTTGAGTAGGTAAATGAGATAGTTTGCCAATGGAATGAGTATTTTTACTCTTAAAATAAGATAATTAGGTAATATGCACTTGAAATAAGTCAATGCAATTGTGTTTTCTTATTTTAAGTGTTAATTGTCTTGTTCTATTCGCAAAATGTCTCTTTTACCTCCTCAATTCAAGAACAAATGCACTTATTTTAAGAAAAAATGACTTAACTAGATTTAGCATATCAAGCACAATCTTTTTAGAACATTCTAATTTAACTGGGATGCATTATAATATGATCATAAATAGGAAACATGCAGAACATCTACCTGCAGGCAAAGTCTCTATGAACACAGGGTCACTCCAGGCGCTCCAATAGCCATCATAGGCGATGCCATCCAGGTTCACCCGGACTTGAACCTTGTACTTTGTACTAGACTCAAGGCCCCTCAGGATCATCTCAGAGCAGGCCTGTATCTCCTCCACCTGCAGACAGAGAGTGAAATTCACTGCATGCAGTGAAAATTCTTCCATGTTTCTTACACTGGTGTGGTCACTAAACAGCCTTCATACCTGCCCAAGTTCACTGTCCACCGGAGCATAACGAATCTCATAGATCATGGTGTCACCCATGTACTTCGGGGAGGGCGGCACCCAGCTCACGTTCAGCTGCCCCTGATGGCCCGTGGTGCTCACCGTCACATTTTTAGGAGGATCGAGCAGAACTGCCAGACAAACATGAAGGTAAACATGAGGTAATTATTTTAAAAAAGAATGAGAAACAAACTTTCTTTCACAATGACAACTTTTACTAATTCTAAAAACCTAACATTGTTTTGTTACATATAAAGTTAGAGGGAAAAGTATTTATTTTAAAACCAATCCAGTTTTTTCCAATACATCCGATACTTGGACTGAGAATATCGCCGATATCTGATAACAATCTGATTCAACAAATAGATTATATATCTTTTCACATGAGTGAACATGAACATTGTTAAAAGAAAGTTAACAAATGAACAATAAATGTGCTTTATATTATTTATTGACAAATAAGCAGCGAAAAGAAATAACAGTTCCATGTGAATTGCACTGGATTGTTTCTCTGATATCTGATATTAAATCATTGATATCTGATACCTGGATTGGATATCGGTGCCTCTTTTTGGATATGTTTTCACCAAGATTTTTGATGACAAAAAATGTCAGTTTTAACCCAACTTTTTACAAAAACAGTCTGATATGACGGAGAGTTCATCAGTTTTAGTTTGGTCCCAGTTTCTTTATTAGATTTGCAGCAGATCTGGATTGTAATAAGAGGGATCTGATCGAGCTTTAACCTGCACCGTTCCATACAGCAGCTTTAGTTACACGTTTAATGCTGCTGTCCTGCCGGTGTGGCAGTCTCAAGTTTCGTTTTGTTTGTTTTTTTACAGCAATTAAATTCTTTTCCTGCAGAATTTTCCTGCAGCTCAATCCATGCTGCCACCCCCGTGTAGGGATGTTTTATTCCAGTTGATAATTAAGTCAAACTGGATAACTTCTAAAGGAAAGTGCACTGGATTTTTATTTGGAATATACAGGTGCTGGTCATAAAATTAGAATATCATGAAAAAGTAGATTGATTTCAGTAATTCCATTTAAAAAGTGAAACTTGTATATTATATTCATACATTACATACAAACTCATATATTTCAGATGTTTATTTTGTTTAATTTTGATGATTACAAATGACAACAAATGAAAATCTCAAATTCATCATATCAGAAAATTAGAATATTACTGAAGACCAATAAAAACAAAGGATTTATAGAAATGTTGGCCAACTGAAAAGTATGAACATGAAAAGTATGAGCATGTACAGCACTCAGTATTTAGTTGGGCCTCCTTTGGCCTGTATTACTGCAGCAATGCGGCGTGGCATGGAGTCGATCAGTCTGTGGCACTGCTCAGGTGTTATGATAGCCCAGGTTGCTCTAATAGTGGCTTTTAGCTCTTCTGAATTGTTGGGTCTGGTGTATTGCATCTTCTTCTTCACAATACCCCATAGATTTTCTATGGGGTTAAGGTCAGGAGAGTTTGCTGGCCAATTAAGAACAGGGATACCATGGTCCTTCAACCAGGTACTGGTAGCTTTGGCACTGTGTGCAGGTGCCAAGTCCTGTTGGAAAATGAAATCTGCATCTCCAAAAAGTTGGTCAGCTGCAGGAAGCATGAAGTGCTCTAAAACTTCCTGGTATGTGGCTGCGTTGACCCTGGACCTCAGAAAACACAATGGACCAACACCAGCAGATGACATGGCACCCCAAACCATCACTGACTGTGGAAACTTTACACTGGACTTCAAGCAACGTGGATGAAGTGCCTCTCTTCTTTTCCTCCAGACTCTGGGACCTTGATTTCCAAAGGAAATGCAAAATTTACTTTCATCAGAGAACATGACTTTGGACCACTCACCAGCAGTCCAGTCCTGTTTCTCTTTAGCCCAGGCAAGACGCTTCTGACGCTGTCTGTGGTTCAAGAGTGGCTTGACACAAGGAATGCGACAGCAGAAACCCATGTCTTTCATACGTCTGTGTGTGGTGGTTCTTGAAGCACTCACTCCAGCTGCAGTCCACTCTTTGTGAATCTCCCCCACATTTTTGAATGGGTTTTGTTTCACAATCCTCTCCAGGGTGCGGTTATCTCTCTTGCTTGTACACTTTTTTCGACCACATCTTTTCCTTCCCTTCGCCTCTCTATTAATGTGCTTGGACACTGAGCTCTGTGAACAGCCAGCCTCTTTAGCGATGACCTTTTGTGTCTTGCCCTCCTTGTGCAAGGTGTCGATGGTCGTCTTTTGGACAACTGTCAAGTCAGCAGTCTTCCCCATGATTGTGTAGCCTATAGAACTAGACTGAAAGACCATTTAAAGGCTTTTGCAGGTGGTTTGAGTTAATTAGCTGATTAGAGTGTGGCACCAGGGGCCATCAATTTTGAACCTTTTCACAATATTCTAATTTTCTGATATGATGAATTTGAGATTTTCATTTGTTGTCATTTGTAATCCTCAAAATTAAACAAAATAAACATCTGAAATATATGAGTTTGTATGTAATGTATGAATATAATATACAAGTTTCACTTTTTAAATGGAATTACTGAAATCAATCTACTTTTTCATGATATTCTAATTTTATGACCAGCACCTGTAGAGGAAAAGTAAAGTAGGAAACCACAGGGGAACATGAACGAGAGCACACACACACACAGACTTACACAGCAGCTCAATGAGAAGGCTGCGGTTATGGATCTGGATTCCCTCTCGATAAACTTGGATGTCCAGTTGGGCAAACATCTGAACCTGCTTCAAACGGCAGATGAAGAGCCTCTTCCCACCTGTGGCAGGCAGGACGTCCAGCGGACACGTGTTCATTGTTTTCTCATTTCTGTTCAGATAAGAAAAGTGGATGTGACACAACATTTAGGGTCTGGAAAGAAGATGTTGGATTGAATTTTATTGACTTTTATTTATATGAAGCCGACTCACTGATAAGCATACGTGAAGGAGTACTGATCCACAGAGCCAGCCCGCTCCTCATCTTCCACCCAGAAGCACGTAAAGTCCTTTTTGGTCTCTGTGAAGCACTTTGGATTCTTTGGTTCCTGTTTTAGAAGCATTGAAACTGAACAGAGAGAATGAAGCTGTGAGATTATCTGGAGAAGATTCTCAGTCATCCAGGTCATTGTCATTCCAAAAAAAAAAAAAAAGAAAGTTAAAAAACAATCCACATGACTTTGTTTCCAAGTTTGAACATTTTCTGCTTCCTATCCAGGAAGCTTTTTCCATTCAACATTTAAGGAATAGGGTTGAGTTGGAGGTGGGCTCCTGTATAAAACCTCAAATACAACCCTATTCCTGATGTTTTGGATTGAAAAAGCTTCCTGGATGGGAAACGAAATGTGTTCAAACTTGGAAACAAAGTCCAGTGCATGGTTTTAAACTTTACTTTTTTTGTATGAGATTATCATATTCACATCAAAATGATCAAAGCTGCTGAAAACACAAACAAAAATTGAACAGTTTCTACACTGAAAAAAATAATGCAACCATTTTTTTGGCATTCACTTAATTTATATTTAGTTACTTTAACACAATTGTTTCATGATAGCAGGGTAGGACATAAAATTGTGTTAAAGTAACTAAATATTATTAAGTAAATGCCAAAAGCAGTCGCATTATTTTTTTCAGTGTATCTTTCTACACTTATTGTTGAATTGATGTCTCACACCCTGCTCTGCATCAATAACAGCTGCATGAAGCTGATCCTACCTTTCCTGTTGAAGTCCTGCGCATCTTTCAGGAGCCCAGCAGCTCCAGCAGCGCAGAGCATCAGGAAAAGTGCCACCAGTCGGATGATTTGGTCACATGTCATCCTTTTGTCCTGTCTGTGCGCAGAAAGACTCGGACTGTGCTGTCCACCTGCATCCCCGGACAACCAACTGTCAGAAAACAGGCGCGTCGAAGCCAGCAGTGTTTGCTGTTTTTTTCCTTTTTCTTTTTCTTCAGATATGGCAGAGATGGCGCTGCGCTCTTACGCGCCTGTTGGACCGCGATAAGACGCGGCGTTGAGATGTTTACGCTCTGCAGTCAGAGGAAAAGGGGGTGGAGCGAAAAAACTGTCCATAAACTGTAAGAAAGCAGTTTGATTCAGTTTTTTTTCTCTGAGATCCAAACTGCGCGTAAAAATGCTCCAAACAGCAGGTTGGGTTGATGCAACTTCCTGCAGAGCTACTGCTGGTTTTATAGAAATAAAAACAAAATCAACCATTTTCCCTCTAAGACATCTTAATAAAACTCAGAACAGCTAAAAATAAAAATAGAAAAAGCCCTGTGGTAACTGTGGAGGAGCAGCAGAGTTGCATCAGCCAGTGTGAAATCATTTGACTTTATAATTTAGAAAATAGCAACAGGGAATCCTTCATGAGCAGTGCTTCATGAAGAAGATTCTCTGATCAGATGAAATCAAAACTGTGAATTTTGTTTGGTTGCAAAACAAAACTAATCATGTGAACCTGAAGGAAACATTAGGATGTCCCAATACAACTTCCATTTTTCCAGTATGATAGTAATATCGCACCTTTGAGTATAAACCGATACCGATATTGGCTTAATATGATATGAGCACATATAATTTATTACTAATTGTGCAGAAAAATCCATTGATATCAGTCACACAAAGAAAAAAAAAATCAACATCAAAGAAATTGAAATGTATATTTGAGCCTTTTCGTTTGAAAGATCCCACTTTAATTTATTATTTTTTTAAATTTTCAAATAAAAGCCCAATTGCATGTATTCAGTGTCTCTATCAGTTTTCTGATGTGGGAGATTTTAGATGCAGGCTGTTTTATTCTGCTAATCATCTATGGCTGATATCAAACCTGTTTCCATCCATAGAAAACATGGTGGAGGAAGCATCATGCTGTGGGAAGGCTTTCCTTTAATAAGAACAAGCACCATGCCGTTTACATTTGATTACTGCTAAGAAATGAGAATGTCATGAAAGCTTTACAAAATGAAAGTTTCATTTTGTAAACACTCTGTGTATACAAAATTGACAATAAAAGTTGTCTAAATCTAAGTCTAAGAAAGTTGACAGAAAAATGTATAATGCTGAAAAAGGGGAAATGATAGAAGAAAGTCTTTTGGATGCAGCAAAATAGTTCTATAAAGGCTGGGATTCCAACTGGAGAACAAACCCAAGAGAGCTACTATGGTCAAGATGAATTTTACATAACATAAATATAGCAAAAAATGTAATAATTCATGATTTTAGTATATTTTCTTTAACTTTCTCTTCAGTACTTTAAAGATACATTATACAAATGAAGTTGGGGTTTTGTTTTCTACATTTTTCTGAATTGATTTTTTACCTTTGTTGCATGAGAAAAACATGTTTATGAATTGTATCAATCCCCTTTTCTTCTAAAACTGTAAAATATGTGATTATAATGAAGTAAAGGGGGGGTACCCAAAAACACACTTCAGTCACCTTTGATTTAAACAAAAGCATATCATGTCAGTTTAAAATCTGAACTCATACTTAAATCCAAAGCTTATAGAAACATTCCCCAATATAAAGGGGGCTTTTATTTTCATGTTTACTCAAAAGGGCACCAAGAAAATCTAAAGATGATTTTCCTTCTCCTTTACAACTATTAACTGCTTTCTGTTGAAATGAAATCCCAATGAAGTACGTCACAGTTTGTGTTTGTAATCTTCCCAAATCTGGCATAACGACTTCTATAAAATACCATGGATACAATGGATTGATTGATTGATAGATTGCAGCACCTTGAGTGATCAGCAACAGCTCGGTGTAATGGAAACCGCAGCAAGCCCTCAGCCTACAGGAGGAACATTTAAACGGTTCCTTATCTCCCGTCTGCACTCTAATGTTTTCATCGTTTGAGCTGCACAGAACCATGTGTCTACACTCGTGATAAGTGGCTTTGATGGGGGAGGGGTGGGGATGGGGGGGCAGCAGCCCATCCCCATCAGTTTGAATGCAACTCGGTGCATATTTACATCACTTGGGTGCTGATGTAAACAGAGATCCACATTGGACCACAAAAAAATAGGCGAAGGATTCATAAACATTCTTCTTTAAAACTTATCTAATTATGAAATATTACGAGGGTTAGGCCGTCCAGGAGAGGTGGTGGTTTCTGTTCCGTATTAGCAGGAAACCTGTCTATTGTGGCTTCTCTGTTTTTTTCCAATAAAGATAAAAACCACAACCTTTTGTTAGTGATAAAGGTTAAATCTGAGGTCATAACTTAAACTTGAGAAAATTGAGATGCTGCCAGGAGTTAAGCCAGGCTGCAGTGCATGAAAAAAACACACAGATAACTGCTTTAGATAGGCTAACATTTCTATTGGATTATCTGTATTTCCATGTAGTTTATTGACAAATACCCTTAAGAGAATGTTTCTGGGTTTTTTCTAATGTTAAGACCTAACTAGTTTAAACATCACAAAACAACTTAAGCAAATATGAAAATATCATTTCTCTAGTAGAAAACCTGGACCCTGGATAAAATTACATAAAATTATCATTAATTAAACACATTTTATGGTTCCATTTGACTAGCAACATCATTGCCTGGTTATTCCCAAACCTATTGACTCAATAAACTTGAATAAACACTTAAATAAAACCAGATTCACATCATGAGAAAGGCAAAAAAATAAAAAATAAATCTGAAAAGGCACACCTTGTGCCTCTTTCTGACGAAAGTCATAAACAGATGAGAAAATAACTGACGTCAACTAGTCTGCCAAACATTTAAAGGAAGCAGGGAGACGACCAACATGGGAAGAAAGTGTTCTGTTCAGATGAGACTGAAGCTTTGCCAAAATTATTGAATCCAGAAAACTAGAACTGCACGTCACCCTGTTCACACCGCCATCATGGTCCTCATAGCAGCAGGCTCCGTATATCTTTTTTTGTTTGGTCATTTGTTTTTTTCTTTTCAAAATGGATATTAAAAACAAGTGGCTATTAGATTTTTATTTTGAAGTGACAGAACTATTCTTAATGCACCTTTTTCCTCCTTGTTTGCACCTTCTTAAATTACTACGCCAATATGTGACCAGTGAATTTCTCCACTGTGAGATCAATTGAGCTCATCTAATCTAATCTAAAATTAAAGCCTGATACAGAAAATACAAACAAAAGGGTTGTTATTTCATCCATCGAGCGGTGCTGGTGCCTATCTCCAGCTGTCACTGAGCGAAAGGTGGGATAAACCCTGGACAGGTTGCCTGTCCATCGCATGGCAACAAAGAGACAAACAGGACAAACAACCATTCACACACACACTCACAACTAAGGAGAATTTAGAGAAGCCAATTAACCTAACAGTCATGTTTTTGGGAGGAAACTGGAGTACCCGGAGAGAACCCACGTGTGCACAGGGAGAACATGCAAACTCCATGCAGAAAGGAATCGAATCTGAAACAGTCTTGCTGCAAGGCAGCACTGCTTCCTCCTGCTGCACTGTGCATCACGCCATCATTTCTTAAGAGGGCCATATTTGACAAAGCGCAGGTAAAACAAATAATCCAGAGAGTAACATCTTCTGCAAGAAAAATGAAGATTTTAAACCTTGTGGCTCAGGAGGTGGAGGCTATGTCCTGAAATCTGTATAACTACAGACTGTTTAATCCATTTTAAAAGCTAAATCTCCTCATGCATTGTGCTGAACATCTTCTTGCTCCCCTACTTACATGCAACATCTATGCTGAGATTTCTGTGGATGATAGGACTTGTTTTACCACGTCTAAAATTACAACCAAAGTTCTAAAGGCATGTAATGCTAAACTAAAGCAGCAATGACACCATGTCACTTTAGAAACATGTATGAAGAAACAAAAAATTGCCAGTTTTTGTTTCCGTTTTGAAGTAATTTCATTTTTGGTTTATCAAATATTCCTTTTGTCATAGAAATTTTTATTTTTTTTCCATTTAAGAAAAATAAAACTCAAAGAAAGATGCAGTGAAAGCAGCATCCTGCTGTGGAGCCAGATAGTTTCAACAGGGAATCTGGTTGAAGGGAAGATGGATGGAGCTGGAAAAACAGGAAAAAAAAAATCTAGCTAGCTCTATTACTGGAATAGAAGAGATGTGATAAAAAAACCACATTGTTACAACGGTTAAGAAAATAAATAAATAAATCAAGAATACTTTTGCATGTACTGTGATCTCAATTGTTTTCACATTTTTATTGGCTTTCCATGTTGCATCAAAGCTCAGTTTATAGATAACATTTTTAGCATTAGCTAACAGCTCTGATGATGAACTTTATATCACAATCCAGCAGCAGCCGCTCATTTAGCAGGAGGGAGGGGGACTGACCACTGCGTGGAGGGATGGGCCTGCATAGTGCACGGGTTATCAGCTCTGCTTCATAGTGACAGTTACTGGTCAGCACTGTGATAAAGTCAGATGGTTCAGCACATTCAGATACTAACCTTAAAAATGAACCAATCAAAGGAAAACTTACATTTTCTTCCATTAAAAGTAGATTTTAATGAAAGACTGAAAATGTTTGGTGAGGAAAAGGTTTAATATTTGTGAAAAACATATAAATCATACAGCACATGATTTATTTCTTGGTCAAAGATAAATGAATTATAACAGTAAAGGGGAAGAAAGTGGGCTTTTTTTGTTGCAACAGCAGCATCATGGAGGCTTTGACTTATCGCTGTCAGCAATCGATGTTCCTGCTTTTCTGGGCTCAGTTTCACTTTAGGGAGAATTACTAATCTCAGCAGGATAATTTACCACCATTATAAAGTAGTGGATTATGACAAATACAGGCTCCAGATAATCTTAGGGCAGCAGTGGGTTTAAAAGTAATGGAATCCATTAATTTTTTGATCACCTTTGGTTTTTCATTGTGTTCTCCAGGTAAAATACATTTAGAAATGAAAGACAAGGCTGGTAAATATTTAGTCTCAGGCAAAACGCCTTAGAAAGAATAGCCCAGTTAGACCACTGAGGACCTGAGGCAGGTCATGTGACTCCGCTTCCTCTGAGATGACGGATTACAGTAAATGAAACCTTTTATTAAACAGGTCTAAGTAAAACAAATAGTTCTAAACAAGCCCGGAGCATCACCAACCTCCCCCATGCATGAAGAGCTTTTAGGTCCAGTATCTTGTTAAAACCCATCTTATAGATGATCAAATATTGTCTCATCTCAGGTTCTACTGTAGTTGATTTAAGAAAGATCTAAATGTTTATGATTGGATGGAAATCGCTTCAAAACAACCGACTGGCATTTAGAAAGCTTTGAATGGTTGCTGTGGTGACCTGTTGCCCCCGACAACCAGCATTGGAGATTCTTTACCTGGGTTTCCAGTAAGGTCACAGTGTGGTGGCCACATGGATGTATCTCAGCCCAACAGGCGATCGCTAAAAAAACTGGACCTGCTGGCCCATTCTGATTTACACCACAGTGGAACAGGAAGTTCCTACAGATCAAATATAAAGTATTAAAATATACAAAGTCTAATGTTTTTAAGAGACTTTGAGGCAGAATTTCATCATTTCTAACATGTAATATTTTTCCCCACACTGATTACCTATAATTGTAAATAATTGAATATTGGATGCCACCATAATAAAAGAAGGATTCCTTTTATTTTTTATACTCAGCTTTATGCTGCATGCAAACAAATTGCTTTAAATATTTATTAAAATTCATCAGGAGCAATTAATAGAATTATTGTACCTGCAGACAGAAAAGAGGTTCCCCCTTTTCTGTCTTTAATAAAATGTATAGAAAACCTTGTTGTGGTTGAATGTGTTTACTGTAGGCTTCTAACCTGAGGGAGCTTAATCCGTACATTAGTGTTCAATTATTTTGTTAACACCATTAAAACCCATATCTTATTAACTTTTTAAATATTAAATGCTTCCTGGCAGCGAGGATAATGCTGGACTGAAGATTGGAAAGGTTTCAATACACAGTTATAAAACTAAATAGAGAGAAAGAGACACAGCAAACATCTTCATGGGGGAAACTACAGCCCTGTTGGAGACATCTCAGCTCGCTGCCCTCTGGCTGCCTGAACAAAGCAGAAGGAGAGGTGCCGCACTTCCAGGGTTCAGGCACAGAGTGGAAGTTGTTCTTCATATAAGTTATCGGTGTATGTGGGAGCGGCAGAGTGTGTTTGGAGGCTTCATTTAAAAAAAAAAAAAAAAAGCGAGGTTTAGCAAGCACAGGCACCGTGGCTTTCTTGAGAGTCTTTAATGTCCAGGTCCTTATTGTTGGGTGGCTGGTCGGCGCCTGCCTCCATCTCCGCATTCTTGACACAGATGACGTCAACGAGACGCTCAAACACTTGCTTGACGTTGATGTTGTCCTTAGCGCTGGCCTCGAAGAACTCAAAGCCTGCGGGGAAGCATCAGAGGAAATCTGTTTGATCTGATCTGCAAACATTTATTAAATGCATACATCGCCTTGGTGGAGTATTATTACCATTTACACTTTTACATTTTGTCTCATTACAATCACTAATTTTGACAAACTGTGCAGGGACTGTGTGTGTTAGGTCCAAACAAACAACAAAACAACTCTGAATGGAAAATAAAACATGTTTTCAAAATCGTATTACTATTAAATAATACAAATAGGCTGGCATGCATTTCCTACAATACAGCTACGAATCTTCTGGCATATGTATGTAGCAGTTTTATGTATTACAGACTTAAGGGAATAGAATTTAAAATCCTCCTTCTCACATATACAGTAAAGCCTTAAATGGCCAAGCTCCATCTTATATAAGAGATCTGATTGTTCCTTATGTTCCTAACAGAGCACTTCACTCTCAATCTGCAGGTTTACTAGTGGTTCCTGGAATGTCTAAAAGTAGAATGGGAGGCAGATCTTTTAGTTATCAGGCTCCTCTCCTGTGGAACCAACTACCAGTTTTAGTCCGTGAGGCAGACACCCTGTCTACTTTTAAGGCTAGGCTTAAAACTTTCCTTTTTGATAAAGCTTCTAGTTAGAGTGGCTCAGGTTATCCTGAGCTATTTCTATAGTTATGCTGCTATAGGCTTAGACTGCTGGAGGACATAGGGACCCCTATTTCTCACTCTCTTCATTCCATCTCTATTTCCACATTCTGCAGAATCTGTTAGTTCAATATCTCTGCTTTTTCTCATAGTAGCTTCATCTGGTCTGTTCCTGTTTGGCCGTGACTCCATCCTGGAGCGAAATATTAGCTGTGCTGCTGCTATCAACACCTTTGCTTTAAGATGTTCGAGATTGGCCTGTTTTTCAGCGTTTTTCAGTGCTCTCTTCATCCTCTGACATGGGAGCTGGCTCAGAGCTCGTCTGCCTGGCTGTGTGTTTCCTGGACGGGGCCGCCTTTTTCAGTTGCTTTCTGTATCTCTGCTTCTGTCTCCTTGAACCCCAGTCGGCCTCAGCAGATGGCCGCTCACACTGAGCCTGGTTCTGGCGGAGGTTTCTTCCCGTTAAAAGGGAGTTTTTCCTCTCCACTGTCGCTACAAGAATGCTTAGTGTGAGTGATTGAATTTGAGTCAATGAGTCGATGCAATCAACCGGTTTTCCTTAGATAAAAAATGTTGAATCAATTTGACTGTAAAGTGCCTTGAGATGACATGTGTTGTGAATTGGGGCTATATAAATAAACTGAATTAAATGAAACATTTTCTCAATTTCTTTTGCAAAATTCCCACATGATTAGTTAAATTAGATGGAGAAAATCTGTTATCAAATGTTCCAAAAGACTCTCAATCATATTCATGTCTGGAGCTTGACTGAACGATCAGCAACTTAATTTAGTTTTGTTCTCTCTGCTGTTCTGAGTATATTACAATATTTTTAGTTGATCACTGCTGAGAACGTTGACTGATTTACCTCATTTATATTTTATTTCAATATTTGTATATTTTTATTGGTGGGAACAAAAACAATATAAACATTTTCTGGTTAAAACATATTTTACCTTGAAGTTGTAGTATTTGTAATTTCTGTCTTTTAATCTTTTTTTTAAGCTTCTAGTGTGGTTTTACAAAAAAAAAAAAAGGAAACATCCAGGATCAAGTGTAAAAATGTGCAAAAAGAGGTTTGATTCAAGAGGAATAAAACTGGAGCTGTGCTGGGAAAACAGTCTGACTCTTGGAGTAAACTCAAGCTCAGGAAAGATTCCCTGGATGTCGCTGCCAAGTTGATGTACATGTGAGTACATGTCCGGGCTGATAGAGCTGCTGGTGTTAGGGATAAATTTAAGCTTTATCTTTAGAGATGTTGGTTTCCTATAAGGTATTACAAAGCAGCCTGGACTTATTTAGCTGGACTAGTGAACACCTTTCTGGACCTTCAGTGGTACAGCCAGCAGATGGCGCAACATCTGTTTATATCAGCTCATCGCACCAGATCCTGGGGTTCTATTTATTCTCAAAAAGGAGTTAGAATCAGGACATATACTCAGAGTATATTGTTTTATCATAATAAATTGGATTTGGGTCTTTTTGTTATAGAAATATAGCCTGATAAACCAGACTAAATGGGAGATGAAAGGTGTAATTTAGTCGGGTCCAGATGAATGAGACATTGAAAGATTGTTGATGAGAAAATATATTTTGTTGCACAACATTTAACCAATGAGTTCTGATAAGCTTCCCCTTTCCAGCATCCTCCCCACAGGATGATGCTGCCCCCGCCGTGCTATCATAGTATTTCATACTGAGCAGTTTGTTTTCCACCACATTGTTTTTTTAGGTTGTTGGGTAAAAATTTCAGTTATTGCCAAAGCATCTTCTTCCACATATACTTAGCTTTGTTTTAGTCATACTTTTTGTTATTCTCTCTTTCAAGGCTAGACTTGTAAAAAAAAAAAAAAAAAAGTGCCTAATAGTTCTCCGGTCAACAGATTCTCGACCTCAGCTCCACCTCAGCTCCAGCTGTATGATAATTTCTAGTCATGGTTTGAACCGTTTCATGACTTAACTGTGCTTTTTGTTAGCTGTGCATTTTTAAACCATGTCTGCTAAGTCCTTTGGATTTAACATGACTATATATAAAAACAGTTTGGTGTCTATTAATATTTTTAAACAATGTCTGATATGAATGAGTTACTATCAGCTGTTCTTACCGAGCTCATCAGACAGCCGTTGGCCATCCTCTGTGGCTATCAGCCTATCATCCTCAAGGTCACATTTGTTGCCAACCAGGATCACCTGAGCGTTGTCCCAGGAGTAGGTTTTGATTTGTGTCGCCCTGCAAGACAAAATCCTCTCACTATAAACAAACCCGCATCCTTCAGAACAAGGATAATTTGGTTTCTTAGCCGATGCAGATGTAAAACAGGAAAATTAAGAAAACCTTCAATTAATCATCAAGTTATGTTTTGGGATAAAATCAAGTAGAAGATATGAACCAAAAAAGATGTTTGTATGAATTCTTTGGGATTTTTGTGGAAAGAGAAACAAGCAACAAATAATTTCAAAATAAGACTAGTAGCTTAAATTTGAATCAAACACTCTCTAATCATCCACATGATGGGAGACGTAGCTTTCAGACTCACCAGTCCTGCACGGAGCTGAATGATTCCTGGTTGCTGATATCATACATGAGCAGGAAGCCCATGGCTCCTCTGTAGTAGGCTGTGGTGATTGTGCGGTAGCGCTCCTGTCCTGCTGTGTCCTGCAGTGACAAACACAAAAACATCAAGTTCATCTGGAACAACAAAACCAACTGATCCAACTCCTTCATGCCTGACCCTCCTGTATACTATGACTGACCACAAGGGGGCGGTGTGGAACTATCTGTCAGACCTGCAGTGGCTCTGGCACAGAAAAGCATCTAAATGATGGTCTGATATTCTTTTGAAGCAGGATTTTAAAAAATATAGAAACTTCTTTACAAACACAGCTAAAGAGTTTTTATTATACGAGAGGGATTTTTACTAAAAATTTTATGATCATCAAAAAAATAAAATACAAAAAGCATAACCCTTCATAGCCTTTAAAAGCTCCTAAAAGAACTTGGCAGCTTTTAGTTAGCATGGTGCCAAACTGAACCTTATACCCTCTTAGATATTTGATCGTGTTCCAACCATAAACATCAGTTATACTGTGGAAGAGATTTTATGTGGCCTCAAGCTTTATTGGCAATGAGGAAGAAAAAGTATTTAAAATCTGAAACGTTTAGTATATTCATGTTCTAATTCTTTATAACAAACCCTTATTAGTTTAACCTGTCAGGCTTTGGGGGTTGGTCTCTACCAGCTCTGTACATCAAGAGACTGACATGTTTGACTGCTCTTTTTTACACCTTTGCTCAAACTCACACAGGAAGGAGAACCTCTGAACATGTCAATTTTAAGATCTTGCTACAGGTACTTAAATGGATTTAGGCATGAACTATGACTAGGAAATTCTAACATAGAAATAAGTTTTGATCTAAACTATCCACTGTAGAAAAGATTAACCTCAGCCCTCCTATTTCAAGGCTTTTGCTGCTTCCAACATGTTTTGTTCCCTGTTTTTTTCAGAGTATATCACCACATATTAACTGATGAACCTACCTGTCATTTATAAAAACAATATTATTACCACAGCATTATGCTGCCACTACCATGTTTTCCCATGAGGGATGTTTTGTCCAGGCTTAGGGCTTTAATCAAAAATTAAAACAGCAATTTTTTCAACAATATTGTGATTCTATTTTGAATTTTCCTATGCACTAACCATATGCCTGCAGACCTTTTTCTCTAGGTTTTCATTGTTTTTATAAACTTGACAGTTTGCTTGTCCAGAGTTCATTGATATTGGATTTTGTCACTGCTACTGTTGAGTGAAGACGTGCTTATTTCTACTCGCATGCATGGATTGCAAACACCATCTTCCCTTTTGTGTGGCAGCAAACCCACTTAGCATATTACTGCCACCTATAGGCCTGGAGTAAGAAAGTTACAGTCTTATCGTTGTTAAATGTAATGTGACCAAAACTGTGTACATCAGTGATTTGAAAATAGCATTTTGTTAAACTGCAATTGTACAGCAAATGTGATTAATTACACAGAACTATTCAGAAGGATTTTCAGCTTTAGATTCAACTAAACACAGAGGATGAAAGGGTGCATGGATGGATGAACACTTTGCATACCCCTAAAATACATTGTTTTAGGTTTAAATGGCAAGAATAAAATAAAAGTTCAAGCAGCATCAACATTTCTGAAGCAAGTGCAGCCGAATCTGTGGCAGAGCATAAAATCTGTTCATAAAACACAATTTCATTATCAAGCAGGCATCTGGTTAGCATTTTGCCCTGTGAGAATACCACCATTGACGTCAGCGCTCCGAATGTTAAATTTAGTGAAACTGTAACAAATCTGGAGGTGATTTATGAAAAAGATTTTCAGTTCAACAAAAATTGTTGATTCAGTCGTTAAATTAACCTTAAAACCCCTTTTAGCTGAAATGAAGCCTTCTTAAAACGGTGCTGATCTTCAGAACACTTATTTGTTCAATATTTGCTTCTTTATGTCACATGAATGTGGACTCAGTCGTCTCTCAACCACCTTCAACTGGTCTAAAAATCAACTGCATGTTTTTAACTGTTGCCTCCTGACCTGGAGAGCAGTTTCAATCAAAATTAAATAAATACTATTATTGATAAATTCTCACTGAATGTTCCATTAAATAAATAAATATACCGTAACTTTCGGACAATAAGCCACGACTTTTTCCCCATTTTTCGACCTTGCGGCTTAAATAACAATGCAGCTTATCTATGGACTTTTACAGCGAACGGCCACTAGGGTAATACCTAAATCTATGGATTTTACCATCCACCATGTTGACGTCACATTTACTTCAACAGACAAGTACGGTAGCCGCGCGTGGGGGAATGCGGAGGTCCTCCGGAAGCAGACTTCTACCGCGAGTGGTACGAGACAGAACGACAGCGAGAACGACGGATATTGCGAGCGCAAGACAGTTTGTGTGTAAACATAAAAAACCTGCGGCTTATAGTACGGTGCGGCTTGTACATGTACAAATCATGCAATTTAGCTTCTGCGGCTTACATTTTTATCTTATTTTATTACATTTCAAGATTTTTTATTTATTCAAAGATTTATTAATTACGTAAATGTATTTATTTCAGAATGAAGTGTTATTTTGTGACACTTTTATTTTGTTAAGCCGCTTTACCTATTGAGTGACTTATTTTTTAACTCCATTTTTCATTTTAAGCTCCTTTTTATGTCATGTTCTTATAAAATAAGTATTAAACCAGCCACCATTTGTCTTAGTAAATATATGTCTAGAGGTGCCATTGAGATGACATGGACCAAACTTCAGTAACAATCCATGGATTCCACACATACAAAGAAATCAAACCATAGATGTCCCGGAATTAAGTGAAACTGCACAGGAAGAAGTGAACCCATTGAACACATGAAGAAAGGGAGGTGCAAAAAGGCATGGAAAGCCTGTGACAGGCTGTGTCCGAACCTCCACCCTAACACCTAAATCCCTATATCACTATATAGAGCGGCGAATATATAGTGGACTTTATAGCAAACTCAGTTAACTGACCGTTCGCACAGATTATCACTACTTCTTGCTCTTTGTTGGGCACGTAACAGGTTAATTATCTGTCAGGAGGCAAATAAAACAAAAAAACCTCTGAATAAATACATGTTCTAGAATATATTTTATTCAATAATCATTAAATTTCACTAAAATCCACAGAATCTTGTGGGATGTTGGCATAGAGAATGATGTAACCTCTCTGGTCTGTTAAACAGTCCATTACAGAACAAGCTAAATTTTAAAGGTGAAAGCTTAGCGTCTAGGCAATATAAACCAAATATTTGCATATTTTGTAAACTGTAGGGCAATATACCATATTTATGTAGTGTTTTTTTTTTCTCCATTCCATTCAGTAATTGTTCGATGGCACCACTGAAAGGAAGCCTGTCCTGAATGTCACACAGGCCCATTTTCTTACTAACAGCGCTAGATAAACATGAGATCATTGCTGATATGGATAAATGACTGACATTCACAAAAATACAGTAGATAATCGCCATATAAATTAGAAATATTCTTTGATCTCTTGTGAAAAAAATCTTATATTGCCGGGCCCTAACTATGGTTACAACCTGAAATCTACCTTTTTTCCCTGATCCCTATATAATAATCTATCAATTATTTTTTCTATTAATCAATTGACCATTGGATTACTGCTCTGAGTAGGTGGCTCTTTCAGTTAATGCTGTGTTGGAGTCTGTAAATTCTGTTTAATGATTAACCGATTACTAAATGAGTTGATGATTATTTAAAAAAATAAATCAATTAATCACATTTCACTGTTTCAGCCCCATAAATAGCCGTTTAGTTGATTACTGAATAATGGAAAGTTGACACTCGAACCAGTTACTCCTGATCATTGCTCGGTAACTGATCTTTTTAAAGAGCGTTTTATTCAAAAACAGTTTCCAAATTTCTGACTTTTACTCATGTAATATTTTATTTTGTATTTATTTGACTTTTTATGAATTATTTTTAAGATTTTATTACAGAACACTGATGTTAAGATGTTAAAAAGAGCTAAAGAAATAAATAAGGGAGCTAAAGAAGGGGGTAATTGAACAGAGATCAGATGCGAGGCTTGCAGTGAGGGAAACATGGCCGCTGTCTGTTTGGGAACAGTGAGCTCTCTTTGAAAAGAAACATCTCCTGATTGAAGGACAGCTAAATGCAATTTCATACAAAATGATGGAAACATTTTGAAGCCTAAAGAAGAGTTATAAAAACTTTTATTTAACTGCTTCTTCTTCTCCTTGGTCTGATTAAGGGGCCTGCAGGTTTCTCTGCAGTTTATCTCATTTTGTGAAGGCGAGGGAGTACGTCGTCTAGGTAACCAGAGGCCAGTTAGGGTCATGAATGTATCCATCACAGGCAGTACTGAACAAGGTGTGATAATGCATGGATCTCCTGAGCAGATAAACCTTTTTTTTCTCCATCTTTTTTCCTCCATGATCTGCCCTCCTGCAGAGTTTAGGTTTGTTTTAGTTAAACAGGAGGCACTTTAGCTCCATCAGTATCTCAGCCATCCAGAAATGATCAAATATTAGCCAGGAAAAAATGTGATGACTAACCAAACAGATGGTGTTTAGGGTTACCACCAAACAAACCCAAACAGCAGACAACACCTGCCCTCCAGCGAGCATGTGTGTGACAGCGAATAGGAGAGGCTTTAAATCAGGCTGCTGCACAGTCAGGTAGTCAGACGTCACTGGGACCCTGTTCTTCAAACATGCGTCACCTCTGTTTAGATTAGCTGCCAAAAAAAAAACACCAGAGTACGTCCTCTGGGATACCACTCACATACGTTTACACACACACTCCCCATATGTCTGGATGTTCGAATGCAAAGTGTATGAAAGGTGTGTGTGTTTACTGTGAGATCAGTGACATCTTCCACTTGTCAGAAAGAAAAGGATGCATGTGTGAACAATGTCAACACACTTATCCTGCTCTGGGTGAGCTAATCGTCTAAAGGACCGTGAGGCGTTTTATCAGAGCAGCTGGTTTTAAACATCTAGCAGAGAATAATCAGCGAGCAGCACTCTCTGCTCTACGGTAGCTAACTTGATTCTAACAGTCAGGAAGCTCTATGTAGCTGATGAT